TGCATTATGTAAAGGTACAATTCCCAATGAGAAATGTAATTGTGTTGTATACCTACAATGTACCAATAAAAGAATTTAATAAAGTGGGAAAAAAAACACACACAAAAAAGAAAGACAAGTCAATTAGAAAAACGAACACATAAGAGCTGTTCCTGAACCATAGTGTTCGCTGGATCATTACGAGACAAACACTGCAACAGAAAAACAGCTGAATAATATCAAAACCAAGTCACAGAAGAACAAATACAAAAGGCCAATGGACATTTGAATATATTCATGTATAATAATATAAATCTTGACTGTGTGCAGCGGCACATGCCTGTCATCTCAGTTCTCTGGGAGGCTGAGTCAGGAGGACTGCAAGTTCAAGCCCAGCCCAGGCAACTTAATGATTCAGTGAGACCTGTCTCAAAATAAAAAATTTTTAAAAGTCTAGGGTTGTAGCCCAGTGTGAAGGCCCTTGAATCTCCAGTACCAGAAAAAAAAAAAGTCCTAATAGAAGTCAGTGTTTTTTCCCTATCAAGTCAGCAAATTTCCAGGAGAAATAAGCACTTTTTTTTTATTACTGGTGGCACAACATTTTTGGAAAACAGTCTGCCAATCTGTATATATGTGTACACTTGTTTTCACAGAGTGAACCATCCTCTAATAATTACTGAAAAAGAATAAAGCACATGTTTACAAAAATGTGAAAGGTGTTTATTTGGGGATCATTTACAAGAAAACAACTGTAAATAATTTAAGCACGCATCAATGCAAATTAATTTAAAATATGTCCATATAATAGAATACTAACCATTTATTAAACTTTGATGTTGCCAGGCATGCTGATGCATACCTATAATCTCAGCACTTGGGAAGCTGAGGCAGGAGGATCACCTTGATTACATTCAAGGCCAGCCTGGGCTACATAGTGAGTTCAAGACCAGCCTGGACTACATATTGAGGCCCTGTCTCAAAAAAACAAAAAAAAAAAGTGTCTATTTTTTATTTTAATTGATATTGACCTCTATCAATATCTTCCTTAGCCCCTTCCTCCTTTGATGAATATTAGTTCATTCTTTTGGTCTCAGGTTAAGCATTATTTCTTGGGAACACCTCTTCTGTGGGGTTGCCTGGGCTTTTTTTCATAGCTGAACTCTGCTAGTGAGTCAGTTTGTGGTCCATGCCTGTCGCTTTCCAGGTGGTTTTTATCCTCCAGTACAACTAAGCTTTCTCCACTGACGGCGGCAATTTTCCATGTGGGCAAATCCCACAGTACTCATCAAATCCCTAACGGAATTACATTTGCTCGTGTCTCACTGGCCAAAGTAAGTCATGTGACCAACTTCAGCTTCCTCTTAATAGGGAATTGCTCAACAGCATCCTGTGGGGGATGATTCATTGGGGGCCATTAGTTTAACAATCTACTACAATATCAACATTCGATTCATTCACCAATATTTACTAGACACTTAACATGTGCCAGGCATTTTGCTTGATTCTGGGGTCAATGAACAAGACAAACATGATTCTGTCTTTATTTACATTGTTGGGAAGAACAGAGACACTGAACAAGAAATTAGAAATATTTTTAAACTTTCTGTGAACTTCAGGTTACTACAAAAACTTAGAATAGGATGAAATTGGTCCAAAAGATCAGCAAAGGAATCCCTGAGAAATACTGTTCAAACTGAGACCAAAAGAATGAGCCGATGCTTACTAGGTAAAGGGAGGAGGGGCAAAGGAAGAAGGCAGAAAAGCCTTCCAGAGAGGAAATGACATAGAAGGCAAACCAAACATACTGTCAAGAGCAAAGCTGGAAAATAGCACGCATAGGATTTTACAAACATATCCACCAAAATCTTAATAGAACACTTATTTTAAAAATCTGTTTTTCTGTATGTATGAAATTACAGAAGCATGTATTATTCTTACAATTGGAAAAAGCCAAGCGATTGTGCTATTTTCATTTGGCACTAATACATTTTTCAAATTGTATGCATGAACATTCTCACCCATTCCTGCTTCAATGCTGCAATTTCTGAAACTACTACCCAGGGTGAAAGTTAGCTATTTAGGTCCTGTGCCCACTCAGCACCCAGAACAATACTAACATTCACATTATCAACCTGTAGAGTGAATCCTCATTCAAGAGTTTGGTTCCCCGGCAGTTCACAAGGCAAAGATTAAGTTCTGTCAAAACTGCCTTTGCAAATCACTTAAGCCTGTAAAACCCAGCATCAGTGCAGTGACACCCATGCTGCCAGATTGTCAGCTTCTTCAGTTGGACATCATCTCAAGTATTTGACTTGAGCCACGGTGATGAGAAGAACTCACACTCCATCTTTAAACAGTACAAGCACATTTGATGGAGTGAGATGCGTTCATTGAGGGAGGCCATCTGGAATGGAGGCTGACTGAGGAGGCAGCAGATGCCCAGCTCTCACCTGGGGCTGCTGGGACATACACTGACTGGGGAATGGAGGCCAGACTTCTTATCACTGTTCTAAATTGTTACTAGCTTTTTCTTTGTTGTCAAAAAGACAGAGCTACGTTTGCTTAGCCTAAATGTGTTCATGTAATTCCCCTATAAGCCTAGGAAGGTACTAGAGATGCTGAGGAGAAATTATAAAAGTATATATAACCTGGTTTTTGCTCTTGTAGCAAACAAGTTTCAAAAAGAAATACAGTATTCAGTGATACAAGAAGATGTAAAAGTATAACATACTAAATTGTGCACTGGAATTGCCACAGGTCATTAACATACCTATTGTAGGGATGGTCGTCACAATCTCTCCCAGTTTTAATTTATATAAGATGGTGGTTTTTCCAGCTGCATCTAAACCCACCATAAGAATCCGCATCTCTTTTTTTCCAAATAGACTTTTAAAGAGCTTTTCAAAAATGTTCCCCATTGTAACTGTATTCTGTAACCTGAATAAAAATAAAAGCAGGTCAAATAATTATTCTTTGCTGAATTATAAAGGAACATTTGAGTGCATAAAATTATAGGTCTCAATTAGAGGTAGCTCCCAGTAAAAGTTAAATAATGTTAAGTATTATACAGTTTGGCCAATAAGGAATAGTGCATCTTGTCAAAGGGATTCTATTTTCTACTGCAGCATTCAAGTGGGCTATATAGAAGCACAGCTTCAATGTCACACTATGGTGGCATCCTTTAGTCATCTTAAATACAGCAGCAATGACACAACACATATCTGTATCATGTTCTAAACTCTCTTGAAATTAGAACTTACGAAGCAGAGAATCTGTTTAAACACAGTATCAAGTGAAGTCTTTAAGTCAGGTTAAATAATATCTCTTAGAAATTACAGTTGCTTTGGCTGACAGACAATACCAATAGTACCCAAAAAGAGAACCTAAGAAATGTCAGAGTTGAGGAAATACTGCATTGGAAATTACTAGGAGAAATTACCAGGCAAAGAGTTGAGAAGATGCCATGACATCCACTTCAAGGAGGGACTATAACCTTACTCTTAACCAGTTTTTAAAACTTTTTACTGAAGTATAATTTACATACAGATATAAACATGTAACTGTAAAGTTCAATGAATTTTTGTCAACCAAAAACACCCAGGGCGGGGGATCTCGCTCAGTGGTGCCACCGCTGGCCTTGCAAGCGCAAGGTCCCAAGTTTGATCCTCAGTACCAAAAAAAGAAAGAAACAAACAAAAAAACCCCACCTAAATAGCCAGGTCAAAAAAGATTATCAGAATAGATTCTCTTTGTGCCATTCCCAGTCATTACTTCCTAAAGGGTAATTACTATATTTTGTCTTCTAGCAGTGTAAATGTTCAATATTTTATTTCTCAGGCAAATGCCTGGTAGATTATATAAAGAAAAGCAATAAAGTTGATAGGTCTCCCACTACCTCAGCAGCTATTATGTATAGTAGCTGCCCTCTTCCTATCGTGCCTTGCCCCCTCTCCTGTGTGACATCATGCCAAGATGGTTGCTCCCATCAAAGAATAAACCCTTCTTCCCAGTATGCCCCTGTTCCTGCCTAGAAAGTAACCTAATACTCGCTCACCTCCTACCACCTAGTGACATCACCAGCTCCTCCATTCCCTAGTCACTACCTCACTCAACCCCACCTCAGCCCCTACAAACCCCACCCCAGTCTCTATAAAAGACTCTCCCTGCCCCGGCCATATTGCTTTTTGTCTCTCTTTTGTTCAGAGACAGCCCAGCAGATCTATTCCCCTAATAAAGGCTTGTTGTGGCCTGGTCTGGTCTTGGTCTTCGGCCCTTTTACTGACAAAAGTCAATTAGCTTTGAAGAAATGTAGTCTTTTTACAGATCAGCCTATTTGAATTTAGCCTGATATTACAATAAAAAAAGTAATATCATGTCTACAACTCTAAATGATCCCTTGGAAATCGATAGCTATTGTTCAAAAAGAAAAAGCCGAGTGTAGTGGCAAACACCTGTAATCCCAGCACTCTGGGAGGCTGAGGCAGGAGGGTCACAAGTTTGAGCCCTGCCTGGGCAACTCAATGACTTAGGGAGGCCCTCTCTCTAAATAAAAAAAATAAAATAAAATAAAATAAAATGAACTGGGGATATACCTTAGTGTGAAGGCCCTGGGTTCAATCTCCAGTACGATGAAGGAGGAGAAGAGGAAGAAAAGAAAAATACATATATACTTGCTGTAGAGACTATACTTTTCCTTTTAAATTGCTAACCAAACTTTACTCAAGGAAGCGCCAAGATACAGCAAGGACAGCCAATCTGCTATGCATCCCGACCCCAGTGACCTTGGAAGAGAGGACACCACATTCCAAAGCCCTTCCTCGGACATTCAAGAGTTCCCTACAGTATTAACATCACGGTCGATGTCCATTTCATTCTACAGTCAGAGAGGGAAAGCACATCGTTTCCCTTCTACACAAAGAAGGAAGAGTTAACCAAAAAATGAAGGCGGCTTTAATCATTAATAGAAAGCCCATTACAGGTCTAAACTAGTCCAGGGATGTGAAGTATTCAAAATCTTGTCGGGGAACAAAACGACAAATTCCTTTGTTTCCGCAAAAAGGACAAATCTCACAGAAGAGGCAAACTAAAAAACATGCTGAGGAGGGGAAAGGTACTTCCCGATTAGACTCCCCTTAAGGTGGGCGGTGCCCGATTGCTCCTGCCAACAGCACACAGCAGTCCTCCTTGTCTTTCCCGCTTTTCTCTCCTTGTCTTCCTACTCCTGTGCTCGAGGTACTACGTCCCTAAGCTCAGCTGGAGATTCACTGGAGTAAGGCGCTGCCAACCCCAGTGCCTCGCGGGGATGCTCACCCTTCCCTGCTACAAGCACCAATGTCCAAGGGGTAAATAAATGATGGCGCCACACAAGGGTACAAACGAGGTAAGTGACCAATGTGAGCGCGCGCAGGCGCTCGTCTGGAACTGGAAAGGATGCCGAATGCTCTTCCTGCCTGGGCCGCCAGGCTGCTCCCGGTCCCTCGCTATCTGTGGGCCCTAGGGAAAGCAGAGGGCCAGACGGAGGAGCCTCCCGAGCTTCTGTCGATTCCCCACATTCCTGCGCTACAGAAGGCGGGGAACGGACAGCGGAACTCAGTCCCTTTCCGCAGTCTTCCACTGCGGACGGATATGAAATCCAGTCAGGTAAGTACTCAGTGGTGCAGTCCCTTCCTTCCAGCAAGCGACTCACCTGTCGCCGTTATGATCACCTTTACAAAAACCACTAGCAACACTTCAGCCTTTAGGATTTCAACTCCCCGCAGGAAAATGGCGTCTGGGCAGGGGCAGGAACAGCAACCAACCAATTACTCACCGCCTCCTGGAGCCTATGTACCAATGAACTCGAAGTTCCGTGAGTGAAGATATATCTGACCAATGCAAAAGACAATGAGGGCGGAAGTGAGGAGCCCCGCCTCCCGCGACCTAGGCAACAGCAGGAATCTCTAGAAATGCCGGTTTTATCTTCCAATGACTTCTCACTGCGTCCCGACGAGACACGCCCATGTGTCATGCGCGACCAATTAGAAAAAGCGAAAGGATTTCCGATTTGCCGGGCCAATCAATTCGGAAAAGACTCAAGTGTTAAAGTAACCCGCGGAGTAGTCAGACCAACCGGGTTCTGAAAAGTGGGCAGGGCCAGGGTTCTAGTGTTATTTAAGGAAATTTGCCTCGGTTGAGCTAAAAGTAGAAACTAGTTTGGGACAGTGTTTCATGTAAGAAATACTCAGACACCGGCACCAAAATTGGGCATAAACATTTCCTACTTAATAAGAAGCTAGACGCTGTCTGGCCTGTAAACAAATTTTTAACAGCGAGGAGAAATACAGCCACCTGCACTATCCAGACATCCCAGAACCACAGCCTTTACTTCCTGAGAAATGCTTTCAATAAGTCAGTACCCTAAATATCAACTTGTTTAGCTAAAAATTTACAAATACCTGTACATAGCACATAACTATAATAAAATAACTAATATCTACTAAATGTATGTTATGTGCCAAGAACTATGTCCAGGACTTTACCTGCATGACCATAATATCCCAGTGAGTTAGAAATTATTACTTTTATTTATTTTACACAGAATATTTAAGTAGTCTGGCAGAGATTCAAGCCTAGATCTGCTTGGCACCTTTATCTTTTTAACTAGGTACTTTCTCTTCTGAGTACAATGATTTTATATGTAAGTATAGATGTAAAGATAAAAATAAATACATATGGGTTTCTCAACATGACTCCTTTAAAAATTATTGTATATTTTCTAATTACGTAGGGAAAGTTGGGGGAGAGTTAAGGAAAGTTAAAGGGCCTCAGTAAGGTTTCTGGCAAATAAACAGTTAAACCCCTGTGTGTGAGGGAAAGAGAGAGACAGAGACAGAGACAGACAGACAGAGACAGAGAGAGACAGAGGCTAAGAAAAACAGACCTGGCTACCAAGGCCTCAATTCCCTCCTCCCTCCACCTCCAATTAAGCACAAAAGAAACAAAGTGGGGAGGGGGCTATATTATAGAAAAGTTTACAAAATATACACTAACACCTAGACACACACCTATATACAAGTTCATATGTATTTTATTATTTTCTCACCAGATTAATACACTAAAATGCACATGTAGCCTTTTTACTTGGCTTTGAATCTCACAAGATAAGCACCTGGACAGCACAAAGAGAGACCAAAGAAGTGCTTATCCAAAATGTACATGTAAGCAATGGAAGGGGTAATGGCCAAATCAGGGATCTCAGAGCCCAAAACAGCCAATCAAATTATAACTCTCAAAGGGGAGAGTCTGTTTCTTGGGATGTAATAAAGGAGGCTAAGAACAAAGAGCCTCAAGTGCTGGCTCCGAGCTCCCTACCTTACTCTAACAAGGTAGCTATCTATCTCCTTATTTCTCTCCTTTTCCCAATAAAATGATTTTGTTCCCTATTTCTCTCTCCTTTCCAATAAAATGATTTTGTTTCCCCTTCTAAACTTATATCTCTAATTCTTTATAAATTTATGGACTCTAGATAAGGATCTACCCTTGCCAAACACGACAATTATATATAATCATTTATTAAAATACATAGGAAAAAAGACACATAGGGAAAAAGTACATAGGAAAAAAGACACCCCTACCCCAGGATGGGGAGGTAAGGTGGAGGGGAAAAGATAAAGGGGGAAGAAAATAGCAATCAAACCAGGCATGGTGATGCACAACTGTAATCCTAGCACACAGAGGCTGAGGCAGGAGGATCACCTGGATTTTGAGGCCAGTCTGGACTACATTGTGAGCTCAAGGCTAACCTGGACTACATAACGAGACCCTGACTCAAAAGGAAGAAAATAAGGACCAGAGATTTAGCTCAGTGGCACTGAGCCTGCCTCACAAGCGCAAGGTCCTGAGTTTGATTCCCAGTACTGCGAAAAAAATCAAACAAAACAAAATCATCCTGCCCTCCAAAGGCAATTCATTGTTACCATTATTTCTCTCTACACATTGTTCTATGCAAATTTTACATAGTTAATATTATGAATACATACAATGCTATCTTTTTCCATTTATTTCAATTTCAGCATTTTCCACTTTTTTCCCCTCCTTGTGGTACAGAGGATTGAACACAGGGCCTTTGCACTGAACTACATCCCTGGTCTTTTTCTTTTTTATTTTGAGACAGGGTTTGGCTAAGTTGCTAAGTTGCCCAGGCTAGGCTCAAACTCTCCATCCTGCTTCAGCTTCTCAGAGTGCTGCAGTAACAGGTGTACACCACTACATCTGACTCCACATTTTTAAACATTTTTGATAGTTGCATGATATTTCATCATATGAAAGTACTCCAGTTTATTTAATAATTTTCATTTATTTGAACATTCAGATTGTTTCTAAGTTTTTCTACTGCAGATAATGTTCCAGTGAAGATTTTTTTCTTTCTGTATTCCTTATTATTTTTCTAAGAACGAATTCCAAAACTGGAATCACTAGGTCAAAATATGAAGATGTTTAAGATTCCTAATATATATTACATTGCCAAATTGTTTTCTGAGTAAATTCTTAAAGTTACATCTCCAATAACTAAGTAAAACACGTGCTTGCTTCATCATTTGGTAAGCGATTTTTTAAAAAGTGTGTTTTCATGGAACAACAGGAACTTTTATTCATTGCTGGTGGGAAAGCAAAACAGAAGAGCTACTCTGGAAGACAGTTTGCTAATCTCTTTAAAAACTAACCAGACTGTTAGCCAAAAGAGTTAAGTGAAAGTTGGGGCATAAGTAGAACTTAAGTCCACACAAAAATGCATGGATGTTTATAGAGCTTTATTCATAATTTCCAAAACTTCAAAGCAACTGTATTAGCATTCTGTAAAGGAACAGGATAAATATAAAGTATATATATAATTATATAAATATATATTATATATATACATATATATGTAGGCCATTGTGGCCTATATATAGGTAGGCCTATATGGTAGGCCATTGTGATTCTTCTGCCACTGATCCTGTAAGCCTACTTAATAAATCCCTTTGTATAGAAGGGTGGAAGAATCCAAAGTGGCTGTCTGCACACTGGAGAGCCAGAGGATCTAGGAGCAGTGGAAGATCAAAGGCCTGGAAGCTCAGTGTGGAGTTATTAGTGCAAGCCTGCATTGGAAAGCTGAAGAAACTGAAGACAAATATCCAAAGGCAATGGCAAAATCTAAAGCTCTTTCAAAAAGAAGGCAAACACTTCCTTCTTCTTTCCCTCTTTATTCTGTGCAGACTACAAACTTATTGGTTGGTGCTACCTCCTACATATAGGGTAGGTCTTCCTCTCTCAGCTTCCTGGCCTACATGTCAGTCATCCACAGACACACTCAGAATTTACTAATCTGCTAGGCAGTTCTTAAACCTAGTTGATCTATCACAATTAATGATCACAGCTGGGCATAGTAGCACATGCCTGTAATCCTAGCACTTGGGAGACTGAGGCAGGGGGATTGCCATGAGTTTGAGGCCAGCTGGGGCTGTATAGTAAGACCCTGTCTCAAAAAACAACCTCACCAAAAAATAATTAATGATCACAGCAACATATCCTTCAATAGATGAATGAATAAATGAACTGTGGTACATTCAGTCAATGAAACTTTATTCAATTCTAATAAATTTGAGCTATCAAACAATGAAGAGATGTGGAGGGAACTTACATGTATTACTAAGTGAAAGAGGCCAACCTAAAAAGTCTATATACTGTGTGATTTCAGCTGTAGGATATTCTGGGAAAGACAAAACTATAAAAACAGAAAAAAAGACTATGGGTTTCCAGGGGTAAGTGAGGGGGGAGGGATGAACAGGTGGACACAGGACATTTTTAGAGAAGCGAAAATATTCTGTATGCTAATGGTGTTAGATACATGTCATTATATTCTCCCCAAACCTATTAAATGTACACCACCAAGAGTAAATCCTAATAGAACTATGGTATTTGGGTGATAATACTGTGCCACTGTAGGTTCATCAATTATGGCAATTGTACCACTGTTCTAAGGATATTGGTAAGGCAAGCAGGGGGCATATGGGATACCTCTATATACCATCTTCTCAATTTCGTTGTGCTAAAAGTGCTTTTTTAAAGTAGATTTTTGTTGAGTTTTTTTTATGTTGTTTTGTCACTTCTTAGATTTTTTTCCCCAAATGTTTACTACTCCTTTTATTTCATTTGCTACAAGTGATGCATCATGTCCTATGTATGTATTTCCTTCCAAGGCACAAATATAAAATTGTTTTTCCAGAAACCATGAAGGTTTCTTGTTTGAATGGAGCTATCATAACATTAAAAAAGGTGAAAGAGCAAAGGGAAGATTTTAATCTACTATTGGTTGCAATTACAGAAGGTTGTTTTGGTTTTTTTTTTTTGATACTGGGGATCGAACTCTGGACTTTGCACTTTCGAGGCAGGCAATGGCACCACTGAGCTAAATCCCCAGCCCCAGAAGGTATTTTTGACTTGGTAATGCTGGGGATTTAATCCTCCACTTCTGACAACCTGAGAATATTCATTATTTTCCCAATATCTCCATGGAGCCTATGAATAAAATAAAGTTCCTGCCCACATGGCATTAAGTTGTTGAACCATTACCCGTACATTTGTATTAGTCACCTTTTCATTACTGTAACAAAATTCCTGATATAATCAACTGAAAAAGAGAAAAGGTTCATTTTGGCTAGCCGTTTTGGAGATTTCAGTCCATGGTTGATTGGCTCCAATGCATTGGTCCTGAGGTGCCACCATACATCAAATACGTGGAAGTGTGTGGCAAGGGAACCATGGTTACCGGATGAAGGAGGGAAAGAAGGGGACAGAAGGAAAAGGAAGAGGAGAGGAGGACAGTAAGAGAGAATATCAGGCTAAGGCATGACTCTAAGATCTTCTGATA